GAGCTGTCCCCGCCTCGCCCTCCCCACGACCCCCCTGCCAGCCCCCAGGGCGTTTGGGTCAGTCTAGTCTGTTTTTTCCAGAGTCCGTGGGCTCAGCAGGGCAGAGGTGCCGCTGGCCATGGGTGAGCAGGGGGGGGCAGCTGCCATCGGTTCCAGACAGCTGAGATGATGCTTGAGCACTTACTTGGGAGGTCTCGCCTTCACCAAACAGCCATCAGCCCATTGTTTACTTCAGGTGTTGGTGAGAGACTGATGCCCACATTTTTATAGTAAAACCAGTGCTTGTAGGGGTATTTTTGGTTCTCCCCATGTCTTCACCAGGCCTGTGGAACTGGGGCTGCTCAGGCAAAAAACTTTTCCTGTGCCTGACCTTCACTGGTCTTGGTGGTGCGAGAGGGTGTTGGTCAGAAAGTGTCCCGAGCTCACAGGAACCTGGGGCCTCTCCTGTCCGGAGCACCTCTGTGCCCAGGAGCTGGGGGCAGAGAACTGGGCATGGGGCAGTGGCAGGAAAGCCATAGGAAACGCTGTCCTTTCTTGCAGAGCCTGCAGCAGTCACGTTTTAGCAGCCCCATCGTGATCCTTCTTCATCTCATCACCAAGGACTTCATCCGTGACCTTGTGTAAGTCTGTGCCCAAGTGGCAGCTCTGAGGATCTTTTGGGACCCTGCACATCTGTCACAGCACTGTCTCAGTGCATGGAGCTTGTCCCACCATTTGCTGGGACATCTCAGGGGAGGAGGGATGGGCAGCAGCGCTCCGATACGCCTGACTTGGGCGGCAGTGGAGCGCTGGCAAGCACTGGGCATTGGGCGTTTTACAGAGGCACTGAGTCATCACGAGAACCAGTGAAAAGCAACATAAAACCTTCCCAGCAGCCGGAAAAGCTCCTTCTGGGCCGAACAGTCCCCTCATGACGTACCAAACAGTGCCTCCCGTGCCCCAGTACCAAAAAGCCCGGTGTGAGAAAGGCAGTGGAGCATCGCCTACAGCCCCTGCACACCGGGAGCTGCGTGTTATTCTACAGGGATATTTTATAAGCGAGGCTGAACTGTAAGAACCCTGGCCCTAATTACTACACTGCCTTAAAAGCCTGCAGCACACAGACAAGAATAGGGCCATTATCCCAGCCAGCTCCCATTTAGCCTCATTTTGACCTCCCAAAATTTTCATTGCAGTTGTCGCTCAGTGTGAGGTTCGTCTTCACTTCCTGTTTTGAACCTCCATGTAACGCTCTTACACCCTGCAAAACGTGACACCTGCCCCGTGGACGGTTTGGGTTCTGCAGAGAGTGAAATGGCACAGAGGCACTGGTTCAGGCTTTCGAGGCTGGTTCAGGCTTTGGAGGCCGGTACTGGTTTTGTATGTTCACCTTATTTAGCCCCGCTGACAAAGCTGAGGGGCAATTTCCAGATGTGTTGCATGGCCACAGCTCCAGCTGAAGCTAATGGAAACTGTTTGTGCTGGTTTAATTCCTGAAAATCAGGCCCTAGACATCCCAGGCTGGTCACCCAAACACTGGGACGACTAAAGCAGTGGCCACTGTATCATTACATTTATTAGTGCCGTTGTGACCATTAGCCATTCTTTAAAGTGTCCTGGAATCCGATGTTGTGATGCAGCTCTCCAACGATCATTATGCAGGTATCTGTTCATATTCACAAGGGTGGATGAAAGGTGACACACAATAATAATGAGTAAATTCTTAGTCCTGAACATCTTCAAAGTGCTCTATGCATTTGGTTAATATACGCTCCTACACCACACGCGTCACCATGGTATCTGAGTAATACAAAGAGTAATTAACTCCTTACAACTCCTCTGGAAAACAGCCCCATATTATTATCCACATTTTTACAAGTGGGGAAATGGGGGCACCAAGAGCTTCGGTGATTTCCTCTAAACCACAGCATGAGTAATGGGCAGAGTTCGTGGCTGGGCATTGTCCTGCAGAGCCAGGGTGACGGCTGGAGGGACACCTGCCAGCGCCAGGAGGGGAGAGGCTGCTCCGTGTTTGGGCAGCGCAGCGTTTCCTTGTCTCGTGCTGGGTGGATTCCTGGAGCAGCGGAGCCAAAGCCGAGCTGCGCTGTGCAGATCTGGAGCCAGAGTGGGCTGACTGTCACTAAACAGGGTGAAACGGCAGCGTCTGTTCTCCAAACTCCGTCCGCGTGGAACAGAGGTTTTGATGCGGCACGCAGCGCAGTTAGCAGTGGCAGTCGGTCTGGGGGGAGCAGGGAGGAGCAGCGTGTCCCGCTGGGAAAGAGGTCAGGGCAGAGGTCAGATTTTTCCCAAATGAGAGCTGGGAAAGTCGAGGCGGACTGAAATACTTTTGATGTTTTTTACTGGGGCTGACTAGGCCCATGCTGAATGTTTTGGGGTTTTCTCCGGAGGCCTCTGGCTGCCTCGATGAGCATCCTGTCCCCCCGTGCATCACAGCCAGGTGCCACTTTCACTGCACCTTGTGTTTCTTCCTCCCCCTGACCAGGAGAGTTGGGTCCCCCCAGCTCAGGTGCTTCCTGTATTGCTCTCGGGTGACTCCTGGCCGCAGAGCTCCTGCCACCCCACTGTGGGCAGCCCAGGCAGTTTCCACGGCCAGGCAGGGACCGCAGCGGGACAGGGATCGGAGGGAGCTGTCGGAGACTCCATGACACTGACCACTCTCTCTGTGTGCCCAGCATCCCTGTGGAGAATCCAGAAGCATCCCTCATTATCGGCCAGGAGGATTTCCAGCGCATTAAAGAAGCAGCTCGATTCCTGACCAAGGAGGAGCGTGAGGCCAAGCTGGCAGTCCTCAAAGCGGAGAAGGAAGCTGTTCTCGTAGGCATTTGCCCTCCTGCCCCTTTTTTCCCTGCTTGCTGACGGGTCTCGGGCTGTGGGTGGAGGTGGATGCACCCCAGCAGAGCTGACCTGTGGGTCACAGACACGCTAGCCAGGGCTGTCCCTGGAACTCTGCTCGGGGGCCACCCCCTTCACCTCTCCCTCACCCACGTTTTGGTGCGCCAGTTGGGCCAGGGGTCACTGGAGCCAGCGTGCAGGAGAGGCAGCACAGCTGGGTGCCGGGATCTCCCCCGATCCCTCAGCCCAGGAAGGGCTGTGCAGGGTCCCCAGGTTTGCCTCGTCGTGGGTGGGGAAGCAATCCCACACTGGTTGCTCCCACAGCCTGCAGTGACCCCGGGGGCTGTGCTTAAGCCTCTGTGCTGCATTTCTGCCACCCAGAAAAGGGAGTGGGGTGGGAGTCTTAACAGGGCCATGAGAAGGGGCTACCCAGCCCCTGTGCAAGGGCTGGAGGAGCCTG